GGAGCTGGTGTTTTTAACATTTTGACTACGAAATGTGCTTCGCGCCACAACGGCGTGCACTTTTCGACATTTTCCAAAAGTGGTCCGAACGTGAGGTGTTTTTAGCTTTTTCACTTGCAAATGTGCTTCGCGCCACAACGGCGTGCAATTTTTCATCTCTCATCTGGCCAGCTGGCTCCGCACCCGCCGCTTTAGCGAGCCTACTTTTCGACTCTCCGGAGCCACAAATCATTGGAAAAAACACAGTGTTTCGCGACTTTCCTACCTTTTCGCGCATCTGCATCTTCTTTCTTCTGACTCGTTCTCTTCTACTCTTCTCTCTTCTAATCTTTCTCTTCTCTCTGCCTCTGCCCTGCTCTGCTTTTCATCTGTCCATATTGTCGGAAGTTTGACTTCTAAACTTCCTTCGAGTGTAGTAGTAGTAGTAGTCGTCGTCGTCGTCGCCGTCAGTTTTTCACGCATTTGACTTCGAAATGTGCTTCGCACCACAGCGGCGTGCGCTTTTTCAAAATCCCAACCTCGAAAAGTAGTCCAAAACCGTCAGTGTGTAATACTGTTGACTTCGAAACGTGCTTCGCGCCACAACGGCGTGCACTTTTGCGACATCTCATCTTCCAAAAGTGCCCGGAGACCGCCAGTTTTTAACACTTTTGACTTCAAGACGCCTTTGGCGCCACAAACGGCGTGCACTTTTTAAACAGCTCAACTTCCAAAAGCGCTCCGAAGCTGAGGTGTTTTGTGCATCTTTACTTCGACATGAGCTTCGCGCCGCAGCCACGTGCACTTTTTGAACGGCTCAACTTCCAAAGGTGCTCCGAAGCTGAGGTGTTTTGTGCATTCACGCCGCAGGGGCGTGCTGCCTTTTCGCGCACCTGCATCTTCTTTCTTTGGGCTGTTTCTCTTCTCTGATCTTCTTTCCACTGACTCTTTCTGTTCGCTGACTCTTCCCACCTCTGCTTTTCCATCTGTCCATATTGTCGGAAGTTTGACTTCTAAACTTCCTTCGGTAAACATGTTGTTCATAGAAAGCTCCATGGCGCATCTCGAAAAACAACCAAATTGCGATTTATTTGTTGTGCATCTGGTGGCAGCGTCAGTTGGTCTCGTTTTTTTTTGGTGATGCTGGGGCTCAAATGCAAATCGATGCCAATAGTATCCAGGGCCACCCCTGCCTCAGGGCGGAAGCTTCATCCACAAGAAGAACTGCCCGGTATCACAAACGTCGCAATAAAAGTTGATAAGTTACTGGAAAAACAAGAATGCCTAGAAGGTTTCCAATTTGGGAAAGGCTAAGTTCCCAGGAGACCATTTGGGGCGGAGGGCCGTCTACAAGTAAAGAGACTTCTTGCGTGGCCTTGGGAGGCTGCTTTGCAAAACGTGAAGCGCCATCAGCATTAGCATATTTTCGTGTAGTGCATGCCGGAAATACGATAGTTTCAGATTATTTGGCGAATCTGGGCTGCAAAAAAAACAAGCAAAGCAGGCAGCATGTGCCCCATGACCCCTTCGATATCCCGCCGTTGGGTACGGTTTAGCAGTCAGTAACTTTGCCATGCCACATTGCGCATTCGTCTGAATACGGACTGCAGGCGCTGCAAATCTCTGATGCGTGTAAGCTCCGTCAGCAGTGGTGTGAAAGTGACAACGTCTGGAACAAATGTCTTCTGAACCTGAGCTATTCCCGATCAATCAAAGTATGCCACAATCCATAGCATTCGCATCAAGGTGGAAAAATATCGCCTGGTGTTGATCGGTTTCAAACGTATTTCCCAAGCCTCCAGCCAAGTTGCCATCCGATCAAGCCAGGACACTGCCGCTGCAACATCACCTGCCTGTGGGGTAATGCAGCATTCTCAAATTGAAGACCGTCAATATTGCATAGATGCGAGAAAGCTTCTTTTCTGGGAGCTGAAAACATATGTCTACCAATGTCTAGCAGCTGCTGTAGAAATGGGTTTTTCGTCCCGGGATCTGTGTTTTTGGCACGCTTGCCTGGCTCTTTGAGCTGATCACCGCATTGTAAGTCACTTGAGTCGGCTCCAGCTGACACCCCTCAATGCTTTTAAAGATGCCCTCTGCCTGGGTTGCTTGGCTTAATCTTGCGCACGCATGCAACATGCAGTTAAAGCTGATCACATCCAGACCCAGCTCTTTGGACTTGGCCAAGTACTGGATTCCTTTTGCAAGGTCCTTCCAAGCGGGAAATCTATTATGAAGCACTGTCTCCAACCAGCGGCGGCATCCATTGACCAAGAAGCAGGAAGAACAGTGCCAGGAAGGACGAGCGAGATACAGCAAAAGGAAGAACAGGGGCTTCTATTCGTTAATATTGATTACAAGCATGCCACATCAACATGGTGCAGGCCGTTGTGAACATACAGTAAGAATCAGTAAGATACAGAAACAAACATGCAATGCGAAGATATGCATTTTGCCTGGAAACATTGACTGTCCCTCCTGCTGTGTAGCAGAGCGGGCCCAGGCATGAAGCAAAGTGTTATAGGTCACCAAGTCAGGAGAAAGGCAAGTTGCCCTTGCCTCTGTGAGCAATTCTTCCGCCTTGGCCACATTGGCTTGTCCGGCACAAGCAGCAATGAAGGCGTTGTAGGCAACAATATCAGCAGCTATCCTGTAGCCCAACATCTTGTCGAACCAAACCTGCACAAGAAGCCGCGAGCAAGAGGATCCAGCCCATCACCCTTGCTTTTTGGGGGGCGAGGTTGGAGGCACCCATTTAGTAGTCGCCCCGGTATTTTTCTCTACAAAATGCCGGACCTGAGTCTACAAAATGGGTTGCCTGGAACCTTTCTCTACTAAATCTGGGCCCTGGAGAGGCTTCTTCACTACAAAATGAATACCGAAAAGGGGTTAAAACAGAGGTTGAATTCTGTTTCAAGCTGGTTTTCGAAGGTTGTTTCTAACCATTATTTACCCATTTTGTAGTAAACCCAAAACGCATCAAGAACCCAACTTGAGGACACCGTCTGGCACAAAAATGTCCGCTCATTTTTCCCCAACAGCATAAGCTAATGGGGTCTTCAGCTCAGAATAGCTCCGTTGTGCAGTGGTGCAGGCGCCGGGTCAGGTTCAGGTTGGGAGGCTTTGGTGCAGGAGCCAGGTCAGGCTCAGCAGGGTTCAGGAGAAGGTCTGGGAGGCTTTGGCGCAAAGCCAGGTCAAGCTCAACAGAGTTCCGAAGAAGGTTCTGGTGAAGGTTTGGGAGGCTTTGGCGCAGAACCGTGCAAGTCAGGTGCAACAGGGTTGCGGAGAAGGTTCCGGGGAAGGTCTGGGAGGCTTTGGTGCAGAGCCAGGTCAGGGTTCTGGAGAAGGTTCTGGAGAAGGTCTGGGAGGCTTTTTGGTGCAGACCCAGCTGAAGTAATTCCAGCGCTTGGCAAAAATAAAACGTTGCGGCTGTTGGGGATACCACCGAAGCTTATTTTCTTACAGCTACACCGACTGTCTATTGAGACACGCAGCAAGTGGATCTATTGGCTTTTCACGGCAGCATCACACCGCATTTTTTTGATAAATATGTTTTCTCCGTTTCATGTTTTCCAGAAACCCAATGGATTCACTACAAAATGCAGGGGTTCCAGCCTTAAAGAATCCGCCATGGGACCCGGTAGTTTCAGTACAAAGTGCCTGGGCCTTGTTCGAACTAATTTCTATCTTCGTCCATGGGCCCCGGTATTTTTCCCACAAAATGCAATGGTCTGCCAAAGTTGAAGTGGGCCCCGGACCTTTTTACAAGGTGGCTTCACTACAAAATGACCTATAAAAACCCAGTTTGTAGTAGCCTTAAGGCCACCCGTTCTGCATGGGAAATAACAAGGTGGATGCCTTTGCCATGTCATCATCGTGTAGCACCGACTCGAACTGTAAAGATCGACGTTGCAAACTTGTTATTGGCTGATCGTTTGAGATGATTTAGCTTCAACCGCCATGGTCCCATTAAAGGCCAAAAATGCCCAAAGCCGCATTTGCACATGCTGGTGGTTGACATCTGATGAGGATCGTTATCGAGATGAGGGAGGGGCCGGCACCGGGTCCGATTGGATCACTGAGTTGCAAATGAACAACACTCAAAACACCAACAAGCAACAACTTGGTCAACCGGTTCAAACCTTGTCATTCCGCAGGTGCTTGTAGTTGATCAGGTTCCCTATCAGCCGTGGTGCAACCCAATCTGTTGGGCAACGGGCTACGCTCACGGGCTTGCCTCCCTGCTAACAATGGTGAAGTAAGCAGCATGAGCTAGCTGTGTACACACTTGCTCACACACGCGCAAAGATTGTGTCTGCTCAAGATTCTCAGGGGCCTTTGGATCCAACCCGTTGCCATCGCAATCCCGGCCTGCGCCCTCTTTGGGTTTTGCGCTTTTGCGCACGCGTTGAGCAAGGCGCAAAAGCTCACTTGGTTGGGTTCCAAGTTTGAGTCCTCCATGAAGTGGAACCACCATTCCTTGGTCATGATCTTAAGATCCAGATTGAATAGGAAGAGTCTTGAAGGAAGATGGCAGTTCAATGGTACTTGGGCATTGCAAATGATTCTCCGCACACCCCTCAATCTGCTTTGACGCTGGAAAATCGTTGGACTGGTGTCAAATCCCTGCGAGTCAGCTTGCAGCGCCTACGCCAAAAGAATTTGGTGGAGGGTTGGTTGCAACTGAGAGCCAGTCTGCTGGCCCCAACCTTCCGCGCTTGGCGCAAGCGTCAAGCATTGAGTTGAGAGTGATGACATTCGGTTGCACGCCGTTCAGTTGCATCCTGGGCCGGTTCCGGGTCAAAACCGGATCGAATCACAAGCAGGTAAGATACATAACATAAAGGAGGCCTGCGCAAACACCTGGGGGTTCACGACATGGGGGGAAAGTCGGCTCAAACGTCCACCTGTGCAGCTTTACCAACCTTTTGGGGGGCCGTTTCCCACAATGTGATAAGGGGCTATTTTTTCTGCGAAGTTTTGTGTGTGTGTGTCGACCATCTGAATAGATGTAAAGCTTCTCACTGTCGACGTTCATTGTTCTTTTTCTTCACAGCAGGGGGCAGGAGCATCATGGTAAGTCTCCAGCCAACGAAGACACTTACCATCGACGGTGATACCAGACTTGGCCAGTCTGGCGTACCCGCTTTGTTGTGTTTACCTGTTGTTCAGGGTTTGCTTCCACTCAATTTTTAATGTCTGATGATGGGAAGAGGCTCAGGCCAAGAACCTCCAAGTCGTCTTTTGCAATTGTCTGCGCTGTTGTCGCAATCTGTCAAGGTGGGAACGATTTGGCTTAGTTGAATGGGAAGGGTCAGGTTCAAACTCTTCTCATCTAGCACTGGCTATGGTGATGGTGACTTCTTGACTTTCTCTCGGGTCTCTTCACCGACCCATTCCTGTCAGGTATAATGAGTGTTTCGCACGTAAGATGCATTCCACAACAAAATTCGCAATAACAGTTCTGAGCACGTGTGTGACTCATGCTGGATTCGCCATGGTGGCATGAACCCTTCGGGGAATACCTTTCTAGGTAGGAAATTCGAGCCTCCGACCCGATCTCTGAATTTACACTTTTCAACCTAGTAATTCGCTTAAGTAAAATGAAACAGTCGTTCACCTTTCGGGTTTGACCCTGTCGTTGTCGAAGTGTTGAACTGCTGGCCGCAGTTTGGGCACTCACCTTTCTTTGGACTGTATGCATGGCATAGCTGGAAGCCACGACAACCTTCTTTTTTCCACCATTGCTCGAGCATTTTCAGCTGTCGTCAATTGCAACATGAGGATTCCAGGCACAGGCCATGCTTGCAGGTGTAATGATTTTTTCTTTTTGGTTTCTCTGGTGAGGTTCAACTGTGCACCAATTCGAGGGTTGACTACGTAAGCCGTTTACAGGGATGATTTGAATTTTCGGCCATTGTGCCTGCCAAGGGGGTACTGCACGACACTCTGGATGCATCTTTTCATTAACTAGTCCCCCATGGGCCCCCTATCTCATGCGTTTTCCTCTCTACAGGTAGGTTGGGTCCTGCGCGTGCTTAGGTAGGCTTAGGTTTCGCTGTGGTTGGTTGGTTTAGGCGCTTCCGTCTTCTCCCTCCTCCGCTGGTAGGGTTACGTTTCCGTCGGCCTCCGTTTTTCTTTCCTTGCCCTTTCCGGGTTTGCACGCTCTGGGCCAGGTGTATTTGTGTTGGTGTTTGCTCTTTTCCTTCTTCTTTTGTGTTCCCCTCTTCGCGTCCAGGTCAAGTAACTTACACCTCATTTTCATCTCATCTGTCCGGACCTTAATCACCCTCCCGCCTGCGGGAGGGTGTGTGTGTGTGTCGACCATCTGAATAGATGTAAAGCTTCTCACTGTCGACGTTCATTGTTCTTTTTCTTCACAGCAGCATCATGGTAAGTCTCCTGCCATGTTGTCGAAATCTGTCAAGGTGGGAACGATTTGGCTTAGTTGAATGGGAAGGGTCAGCTTCAAACTCTTCTCATCTAGCACTGGCTATGGCGATGGTGACTTCTTGACTTTCTCTCGGGTCTCTTCACCGACCCATTCCTGTCAGGTATAACTGGAGTGTTTTGGCATGTAAGATGCATTCCACAACAAAATTCGGAATGATAGTTCTGAGCAAGTGTGTGTATGGATGTAAATCTTATATGTACGTTCAAGGGAAAAAGGGATCTCCAGTCGTGGCCTCTGCCAAGGAGCTCCACGCTGGATGATCAGGTAAACGTGCCTGCAAATATATAAATGTATATGAACAAACCGATAAACATATAGATAAATAAATAAAAACATAGCATCAACTAATAAAATCTATATACCCGCTCCTGGATGCCTGTGAGTTGCGGCTGGCCTACCAGTAGTACCGCACAAGGCGGTGGCGGAAGTTTCAAAAATAGGAAACCTCTAGGAGAGATTGGTTGTTGTGAATCAAGGATGGCAGAGCGAATCCACTGATGGACCGAAAGGTGCTTGAGGTCTCCTCTCTTTCTCTCTCTTGCTCTGACTATCTACCTACCTACCTGTCTATCTTCTATGTATCTATCTATCTATCTATCTATCTATCTATCCATCTATCTATCTATAGATCTATCTATCTATCTATCTATCTATCTATCTATCTATCTATCTATCTATCTATCTCTCTCTCTCTCTCTTTCATCTCATTACCTATCTATCTATCTATCTATCTGTCTGTCTGTCTGTCTGTCTGTCTGTCTGTCTATCTCTCTCTCTCTCTCCCTTTCATCTGGCTATCTGTCCAGCTGTCTACCAGTCTATCTGTCTATCTATCTATCTATCTGTCTATCTGTCTACCTGTCTATCTGTGGTGCAATGTCATTCAGTGCAATGCAGTGTAGTGTAATGTAGTGTAGTGTAGCGGAATGTAGTGGAATGTAGTGTAGTGTAGTGTAATGTTGTGTAGTGTAGTGTAATTTAGTGTAGTGGAGTGTAGTGGAGTGTAGTGGAGTGTAGTTTTGTAGTTGTATTTGTAGTTGTAGTGTAATGTAATGTAGTGAAGTGTAGTGG